GAAGACTGAATTCTGTCCAACTAAATTTATTACATGTTATTGATTCAGCATTTATGTTTCCAAGTGCTTATCTTCATCACAGAATATATTTATTATTTTGTATTAGGTGTTTACATGTAATTTATCATGTTCCAGAGAAATTGGTTCATATCCTGTCATTTTTTTTCCATTTCTCACAAATTCTTGAATCCTATATGTCAGGCGGAACCTGGGAGGGCTGTATTACTTGCAATGTCCCTCCTGAAAAAGAATTGGAAATTCCTTTGGGCAACAAGGGCTCTTCCCATGCCTAAAAATATGCAGGATAGAAAGATTCTAATAAACATGTAGGAGGCAATTTGCCCATTTAAAGGCAATTTTCTTTGATCCAAAATAATCTCTGGTGTCACATGTGACTACACTGTTTCCACTACCTGATTGATGCAGTTTAAACACAAAGTTGCTGTTTCTTCCTTTTCCAGGTGCTGCCGCCGCCTGCAGGCCAACCCACAGACCAATCAATGTTGGTGCAAATCCAGAGACAGAAGGTGGGTCTCTCTTTCTATTCTAGGCTCTCTTAATCTCTCCAATTTTCTGGTAATCAGGGTTGCTTGGTGGCAGAGCTAAGCATCCAGCAGGTGCTCCATTCACCTTTTCCATAGCTCTAAGATTTCACAGCATTATATGCTATTAATTTTTATGTATTCTTTCTTTCCCTCCCTGCGTTCAGAGGAACATCTGCCTGATGCACCAGGGATGCACTTCATTGAGTGGCACCGAAAGGAACTGATAGAGCGGACCAGCAATGTAGAGGGAGTCTTGGATATGCTTTATGGGGCTGTCCTGGATTATGAGCAATACCAAAAAATCCTCTCCAGGAAAACCTCCCAGGATAAAATGCGGGAGCTCTACATGCTCCTCCCAAGCTGGAACCGCTTTTGCAAGGATCAGCTTTACGAGGCATTGAAGGTCAAGCAGAAGTATCTTATTGAGGACCTTGAAGATGGCGACAGATGATGAAATGATGCCAGAAGACATACACCTGCACAGTGTGACTTCACTGCTCTTGTTCTTAAATATATTTGACACCAACTCCAAATCCTGCCAATCTTACAAAGCAGCAGTGAACATCTTCTCCTTGATGACCCTGAAAGGCGATGAAACCACAAAGCAGACAAGGTACTATCCCCCATAAATCCAATTGTGTGATTTATGGAGGATAGTGTGTGGTTTTAATGCTTCAATGAACTTGAATATATTGGAGGAAGGGGATAGCCTCTCTTCTGCCAACATGGTGGTTTTTTGGATTGGACTATGACTCTCAAGACCAGAGTTCATATCCCATTTTAACCATGGAAACCTACTGGATGCCCCTGGACAAATCAGACTCAGACAGGCTCAGAAAAAACCAAACCAAACTGTTTGTACAAATCTTGTGAAAACAATATTGTGATAGGATTTCCTCAGGGTTCCCATAATTTGGAATCAATTTGAATGCTTTACTTACTTTACTTAGGCGATCCCTCGTTGGCCGAGAAGGATAGTCTTCCAGGATCCGTATTCTTGTGGGTCCGTAGATGACTGTGGATCCCTATTCTGGATCTGCATCTTCTTCCGCAGTGAGGGCATCGGTTTCCAGGTGGGAGGCGGTCTCGGTCGGGGTTGGCTTGACGCGCCTTCCTCTTGGCACGTTTCTCTCTTTCACCCTCCATTCATGCCTCTTCAAATTCTGCAGCACTGCTGGTCACAGCTGACCTCCAGCTGGAGCGCTCAAGGTCCAGAGCTTCCCAGTTCTCAGTGTCTATGCCAGAGTTTTTAAGGTTGGCTTTGAGCCCATCTTTCAATCTCTTTTCCTGTCCACCAACATTCCATTTTCTGTGCATCCGGAACACATGGCCGGTCCAGCGGAGTTGGTGGCGGAGGACCATCGCTTCAATGCTGGTGGTCTTTGCTTCTTCCAGCACGCTGATGTTTGTCTGCTTGTCTTCCCAAGAGATTTGCAGGATTTTCCGGAGGCAGCGCTGATGGAATCGTTCCAGGAGTTGCATGTGACATCTGTAGACAGTCCACGTCTCACAGGCATAGAGCAGGGTTGGGAGGACAATAGCTTTATAAACAAGCACCTTGGTCTCCCTACGAATATCCCAGACCTCAAACACTCGCAGAGCTCAGGCGGTGTTGTATTTTGGTGTCAATATTGACCTTCATGGAGAGGTGGCTGCCGAGGTAGCGGAAATGATCAGCATTTTCTAATGTTACACCATTCAGCTGTATCTCTGGCATTGGAGAGGGGTTGGCTGGTGACTGCTGGAACAGCACTTTGGTTTTCTCGATGGTCAATGACAGGCCGAGCTTCTCGTATGCTTCTGTGAAGGTGTTTAGAGTGGCTTGTAGATCTTCTGAATGCGCACAGACTATGTTGTCATCAGCATACTGGAGTTCTATAATGTTGTTGTAACCTTGGTTTTGGCTTTCAGTCTGCTGAGATTAAACAGCTTGCCATCTGTCCGATAGATGATTTCCACTCCAGTGGGAAGCTTCCCATCAACAAGGAAGTATCATAGCTATGAATGCAAACAATTAACAACAACAGTTGCCTGCGGGCTGATATGGGCGGGATATAAGTGATGTAAATAAATAAATAAATAAACAGGGCTTAACATGGCCTAAAAGAGAGGGTAAAATATGCTGAATATGATATTTGCAAAAGCCACACTGGCCAGGACAGAACCATTGTGTAAATAACTGTCACCTGATGAGACAGTTCATGCAAACAGGAGTATTTACAGGATGTGGACTACGAACAGTTTACCTAGGGTCAACAGAATGTCCTGGAGAAGACATCAGAGAAGAGCAAACTACTGACCACTTACTACAATGCAGCCTGAGCCCTGCCACATGCACAATGAAGGATTTTCTTGCAGCAACACCAGAGGCACTCCAAGTGGCCAGCTACTGGTCAAATGACATTTTGTATAATGGCAATTTTTTAAACTGCCGTTCTGGTCCTGAACCAGTGCTTGTCAGCTGTAATGGATGAGGGTAACTAGACTGAAATCAAATCCTGACAAGACAGGGTAGATCAGGGTATGGGGATACAACCTGTGCTGGATAAGGTTACACTCCCCTTGTGTTTTATTGATTTTTATTATTTAGTTTGTGTTTTGTTGATTATTATCGTTTAGTTTAATTGTTTTGTATTAATTTATCTGGTTTTGTATTATGTATTCTTGGCATTAAATGGTTGCCTCCATGTTGCAAGCCATCCCGTGTCCTCACAGGGGAGATGGGACAGGAAACAAATAAGGATGATAATGATGATGATGATGATTGGAGAGTGGATGAAGGGTGGGGGGATGCACAGATTGGAAGAAGACAAATTACAGGAGCTGCAATAACCTAAAAGTTCTTTCAGATTTCTTCAAGCAGTTCAGGAACAAATTGGGGGGATAAGAAGAGTGGCTATCCTGGTATGCATCAGCTCAGAGCAAGTTGGGATTGCAGTGTCAGGACCCATTTTAGAGCCTCGTATGATAATGCCAAACATCTTGACAAAGGAAATTCTTGCATGAGGTTTAGGTATATGTAAATAATGAGTCAAAATGATGCTTTCGTACAACATCAGCCTGGAAAGACTAGAGACTGTATCAATAAAGAATTGGGTAAACAAGATGTGGGCTATAGTCCTAATCTGAAAGGTTAATGTATAAATTAGGATTGGCAAAATGAGAAAAGAAAAATATTTAAGAATGCATAGAAACTATTTATTGGCTTCATGTGTGAATTCAAACCACCCCCCCCAAAAAGGACTTAAAACCCCCCAAAAGGAAGGAAGCAGAGGAAGGAAAGGTCTAGACCAAACTTGGCATAAATATTCCATATGCCCAAATATGAACACAGATGAAGTTTGGGGAAAATAGACCTTGACATTTGGGAGTTTAGTTGCTGGGATTTATAGTTCACCTACAATCAAAGAGCATTCTGAACCCACACATAGAATTGGGCCACACAGAACCACCATGACCAACAGAAAATACTGTGTTTTCTGGTGGTCTTTGGTGACCCTTCTGACACCCACCTGGTGACCCCCCGGGTCCCGACCCCGAGGTTGAGAAATGCTGCCTTAAGGCCATCCAGTCCAACTTCTTTCACCAGGGCAAGAAAATATAATCAAAGCCCTCCTGAAAAAGACTTCCCAACAAAGGATTCCCCCAGGTAGGAAACAGCCAGGCTTTGAAACTGCAAGGCTATTCAATGCTAATCAAGCTGGGCCAATTGCAACATTCACACTTGCCTCAAGCAAACAAGAGTTCTTTCTCCCACCCTGGACTCTCCACAGATATATAAACCCAATTTTCCTAGTTTCCAACAGACCTCACAACCTCTGAGGATGCATAGATGTGGGCAAAACATCAGGATGAGAATGCTTCTGGAACATGGCCATACAGCCCGGAAAACTCACAGCAACCCATTATAATAATGATATGCAATGAATGAAATAAGAATAAATGAAAGTAATAGAACTGACAGAGCTGTATGGCTTTAATCTTGTATAGAAGATGTTGGTGTGTAGAGATTTGTAGAGAGGGGTATTTATATGTATGTGGTGCAGTGGGTGAAACTGCTGAGCTGCTGAGCTTGCTGACCAAAAGTTGGCAGTTTGAATCCAGGGAGTGAGATGAGCTCCTGCTGTTAGCCCCAGCTTCTGCCAACCTAGTAGTTCAGAAACATGCAAAATGTGAGTAGATCAATAGATACTGCTTCTGTTGGAAGGTAACAATGCTCCATGCAGACATGCTGGCCACATGACCTTGGAGGTGTCTATGGACAATGCCAACTCTTTGGTTTAGAAATGGAGATGAGCACCACCACCCAGAGTCAGATATGATTGGACTTAATGTCAAGGGGAAAGCTTAACCTTTACTTTATAATCACCAAGGACTGGGAAGCCCTGGCACTCCAGCAGTAGTCAGCTGCAATGGTGCTATGGATTTTGGAGGGGAAGGAAAACAGGGTAGAAGGAAGAAACGTGCCTCAAGCACCGCCTTTGTGAGGAAGCCCAGTAATAATATCAACTTAGGAGCTGTTTTATAAAGGGACTACTAATTAAAGAAGGATTTGCTTATTTGATAGCGAAGCTGATATTTAAGGTCCCTGATTGACCTTTCTTCTTGTGCAGGCTGTTTGACTTAGAAAAAACTGTATCAGGCAAGGCTTGAGAAAAACAGTAACAAATTTATTTAACAGGAGTATAACAGATTCAATGTTATTTCTCTAGAGGCACAAACTTAGTTGGTTACGTTGATAAGGTTTCTTGAATAACTTTAGGTTTACAAGAGCAAAGTAGTCCCAGACCCTCAGCAAACTACAACTCCCCTGATTTCATAGCATACAGCCCTAGCAGTTATGTTCTTTGACATTGTTTTACATTCAGAGCTAAATTGGCATATGACATATATCACTCTTCACTCTGCTTTGCCCATAGAAAACCGTGATAACTATATCTAAGAAACTAGAGCTAATGTAGTCCATCCAGTACAATTTCCTGAATCTGATCCCCAAGGAGAGGCCTAAAAACCTAGACACCGGAGACATTTTTATTGTGCTGTGTAGAGAATACCTATGAGGAAAAGGATAGGGAGAGGGCAAAAGGAAGGCAGACATACTCAGGTACCTATACCTGAAATTACATAATCTCAGGCCCCTTCCACACAGCGGAATAAAATCCTACATTTTCTGCTTTGAACTGGAATATATCATCATTGTTACCACCACTGGGCCTTAAAAAACAACTTACCTTATACACAGATGCTCAGAATCAAGCGTAACTCCTCAACCCCACAGGATTTCAATGATGAGGTTGAAGTGACTAAACATCAGTTTAGAAACAGAGGATATCCTGAACACATTATACAATCATCTTTTTCAAAAGTTGTCAGTACTCCTAGATCTAAACTTTTAAAGGACACAACCAGGCCTGAAGTTGATAGATTGATATGACCACTTACTCTTATAAACATGTCTAATTTGGCCATCAGAACAGTCAGAAAATACTGGAATCTTATAAGAGACATCCCGGGATGCGAGAGACCCCCATTGATAGCACACAAAAGGACGCAAAATATTGGTGATATATTAGTACATTCAGACGTAACCCACAGAACTCGGACCCCCAGGTCTAATTTGGTCGGCAATTA